AAAAAAGAAAGATGGCAGAGAGGGCATGTGGAGAAATTACATAAGAAAAGCCTCTCCTTCCCCCTTAGAATTTGGGTAAGAAACATTTAAGTAGGAAATATATAGGTAAATAGACAAATAGACATATTATCATGTGGTTCAAATTAAAAAAAGAATATCCTGATAAAGGATATTCAAAACTGAAAAACACTCATACAACTCAATATCAAAAAAACAAAAAATCAAAAAAAAAAAAAAAACCAAGCAGCCCAATCCAAAAATGGGCAGATCTGAATAGACATTTTCTCCAAGGAAGACATACAAACAGCTAATGGGCATGTGAAAAGGTGCTTTACATTGCAAATTATTAGAGAAATGCAAATCAAAAGCACAATGAGGTATCATCTCACACCTGTCAGAATGGCCATCATCGAAAAGTCTACAGAAAACAAACAAACTTTGGCAAGAATGTGAAGAAAAGGTAACACTTATACACTGTTGATGAGAATGTAAATTGGTGCAGCCACTATGGAAAACAGTATGAAAGTTCCTCAAAAAACTAAAAATAGAACTACCATATGATCTAGAAATTTCATTACTGGGTATGTATCTAGAAAATAAGAAAACATTAATTCAACAAGATACATGCACCCCAATGTTCATAGCAGCACTATTTACAATAGCTAAGATATGGAAGCAACCCAAGTGTCCATGAACAGAGGGAATATATATACACACCATATATGTGTATGTGGTGTATATATGTGTTTATATATATATGTGTGGTGTATATATATATGTATATATATATAAACAAATTATATATACAATGGAATATTACTCAGCCATAAAAAGAATGAAATTCTGCTATTTGCAGCAATATGGATGGACTTAGAGAATATTATCCTTAGTGAAATAAATCAAAGACAAATGCTGTATGATATCATTTATATGTGGAATCTCAAAAATAAAACAAACGAACATAGATGCAAAACAGAAACAGACAGAGATTTAGAAAACAAACTAGTGGTTACCAGTGGGGAGAGGGAAGGGGGGAGGGGCAAGGTAGGGGTATGGGATTAAGAGATACAAGCTATTATGTATAAAATAGATAAGAAACAAGGATATATTCTATAGCACAGGGAATTATAGCCGTTATTTTATAATATTAATAGTTTTTAATGGAGTATATTCTAAAAATACTGAATCACTATGCTGTACATCTGAAACTAATATAATATTGTAAATCTACTATATTTCAATTTAAAAACCTGAAAAACAAACCGAACCAGTTATTTTGAATCTGTTGTTGAAAATAAGTAGAAAGAAACTAAATAAAGAGTTGAGCACTGAACATGACTTCAAATATTTTGTCTTTGGCCAGTCTCTAGTTACAGATGAAATAGTGTTTCATTAAGGGAAAAAATGGTAGCTTTTGTTGGAAGTTCAGCAGATGTGTAATTCTTACTTATTAGAAGGAATGGATTGCTTGCCACAACATCTATACTGGATATAAATTTATATTACTGAGGTGGGTATATCTTTTTTAGAAATTTCCACAGGTAATAAGGCACTTAGGCATATTTATTTAGTTTGTTGAAATTAAGTAACCTAAATTATATTTTTGGCTAAGGATCTTTAATTACAAATATTGGAATTTAGAATCTAGATATTTTGACTCTGACTCCAGAAAATGAGTTTTTATGGTTTAAATCATTCCTTATGTGTCTTCAAATGAACCATATTTTCTCTTATAGCTAAAGTGTTTCTTTGTTAAATTAGAAGAACCTATAATTATGAGGAAACGTGTGATGATAAATAAATGAATGAATAAATAAGTGAAAAATAAGGGCTCTTTGGCTGTATTCCAATTACTTCTCTGATATTGAATTTGATGGTTTTTTTTTTTTTTTTTTTTTTTTTTTTTTTTTTTAGCGGTACGCAGGCCTCTCACCGTTGTGGCCTCTCCCGTTGTGGAGCACAGGCTCCGACGCGCAGGCACAGCGGCCATGGCTTACGGGCCTAGCCGCTCCGCGGCATGTGGGATCTTCTCGGACCAGGGCACGAACCCGCGTCTCCTGCATCGGCAGGCGGACTCTCAACCACTGCGCCACCAGGGAAGCCCGATGGTGTTTTTTATTAATATTCAAGTGGACTCAAAATATTAGGAGCATCACTGATTTCACGAAGTAGGTAGTCTGGTTTTTGCAGAAAGACTAAAATGATGATAAATTTTGTATTTGTACTAAGACAACTCATTCAGTCACTTAATAAACATTTATGGAGTGTGTACTAACTTAGGCACTATTCTAGGCCCTGGGGATACAGCGGTGAACAAAAGAGACATTAATCCCAGTCCACATGGAGCTTAAACTCTAGGAAGAGCAGTAAGAGCAGATAATAAGCTAATAAATTAGTAAAGTATATATAGTGATGTTGGAGAAAATAAAGCTAGGAAGGAGGAAATTAGGTAGTTAGGTGGTGAGGAAAGGCCTTCACTGGCAAGGTAGCATAAGGAACTAAGGACACAAGGAAGTGAACCAAGTTGATATCTTGGAGGAGAGCATTCCATGCAGAAGGCACAGGAAATGTAAAAGCTTTGAGGTGGGAAACAGGTTTGTGAGTTCCAGAAACTCACACACCATAGTATGTTATCGACCAACCACTTTCTTTCCCATTTTTGTCATCATTTTTTTTTTTGATGATTGCATTGATTGGTTGATTGATGGCTGTGTTGGGTCTTCACTGCTGCACGCAGGCTTTTTCCAGTTGCGGCGAGCGGAGGCTTCTCTTGTTGCAGAGCACGAGCTCTAGGCGTGCGGGCTTCAGTAGTTGTGGCACGTGGGCTCAGTCGTTGTGGCTCTCAGGTTGTAGAGCGTAGGCTCAGTTGTTGTGGTGCGCGGGCTTAGTTTCTTCACGGCATGTGGGATCTTCCCAGACCAGGGCTCGAACCTGTGTCCCCTGCATTGGCAGGCGGATTCTTAACCACGGTGCCACCAGGGAAGCCCTGGCCCCTGAGATTAGAGTCCAGAACTAATTGGCACTTCTCTAGGGAGATTTTTTAGTAGGAAAAGATAATGCTTTGTGATTTTCTGAGTTACTTTTTCTGATAATGTTCAAAATGCCTTTTAGGGCTTTTTTTTTGTTTTTGTTTTAGCAATTGCAGGAACAGCAGGAGTTTGGGTTTGGTGTTTTAATAAAATAGTTTACAGTGGCTACTTAATTAGTTTTCTGGTTGTAATAAATTCTCTTGAATACAACAAATGTAATTTAAATGATTTCCAAGTTACCTCATACTTGTACACAATAAAGTTCATTTGCCATGTTTCTGTCATTTGCCATGCACAGTCATGTGAAAATTTCCTGCAGATCTTCTTGCCAATTTGGCATTAAACTATCAATGAGTTCCTATTTCACTTCCATAATTATTAAGCCTTTGGAATCTCTACTAAGATGTAATTTCATTGACCAAGACCAAGACAAGCAGTTGTTTCCCAGAGCAAACAAAATGATACCCAGACACTCTCTGAAAGTCTTGAGGGTAATGAATATGTAAGTCAAGGAAGAAACAGTCCAGTTTTTTCAAAAGGCCTTTCACAGAGTGTCACACCAAAAATTAGTAACATTAAATGAAACAAACATGGAGGAATAGTTTGTCGTGTCAGACAATGGAATTAAAGATAGAAAAAAATGTGAAATGACATTTTGAAAGACACAATCAAAATAATTTTTCTATAAACGATTTGACAGAGTCAGTAGAGAAATCTCCAAAATATTAAACCAAGCTATATGCTCTTTTCCTGTTTCTTTGGAATCTTCTATTGTAGACCAACTACCTAACTTCCTGGAACTCTTTCTAGTGTAGTCTGAAACGTGCTTTCTCCTTCCTGTAATCCAGTTTTTTTATCTTTATTTTTTTGCCCCACTGCGCCACCCGGGATCATAGCTCCCCCGACCAGGGATGGAAGCCGTGCCTGCTGCAGCGGAAGTGCAGTCTTAACCACTGGACTGCCAAGAAAGTCCCTAGTCCAGATTTTCTTGCTTGCCTGCCTTAGCTCACTCTATTCCCTGTTCTTGGAAGGTCTTCGTTTCCTGTTAAAAGTAAAGCTTCTAGAAGGCCTTCCTGATTTACCAGCCAAAGTGCTCTTTCACTGATTCCAGAACACCTAGTAGAATCTTTGGTCGCTTTCTTTATCCTTCCTTACCGGATTGCCTGCCTCTTCTGGACAGCAGTTTGTATTCCCAATACAGTTATCATAGTGACTCAAAACATTTTTTGTTTAATCAAATTAGGGCAGATCACTTAGAAATTCCACCTTAGATACACTGTCCCACAGCCACTCTATCTACTTGTCCATCTCGGGCCATTGGCTTTCCCATGTTACACAAATTTTCCATGTTCTTTCAAAACATTTGAGTATACGCCACATTGAAAATGATTTATGCTCTTGGGATACAGAAAGTAAAAGTGGTAGGAGCACATTTCACGTACTCTGCCAAAGATGCGTTGGACGCTGGAGGCAAATAAATTGGGGATACCGTTTACGAAGGTAACAATATTTCGTTAAAATGTGAAGGCCTACTGGATCACCTATACTTTATTTAGGTTTTGGAATCTCGGTCAGGTACGCTAACCGAAAAGGCTCAGGAGTGGTTACTTGAATACACGCCGCAAACACGTTCTAACGCCTTGAAAATGTTTTTAGATCAGCTGCAGCAGGAGCTGGGCGGACAACTGCCCCTCCCCCCAGCCTAAAGCTGCCCTCCGCCCCGTCCCTTCGCCCGGCCCCCGCGCCGCCGCACTGCATGCTGGGAGTCGTAGTCCCGGTTTGCTTTGCCCGGAGGGATCGAAGGGCATCGGAGTCCAGCTTGCCCTCGCGCTACTAGAGGTCGCGTTCTTCCGCTGCTCCCTTTCGTTCTGTCGGTCGGAGCCTTCCGTGAGCACGGCTGGATTTGTCTGTGCTACCGTCTCTCTTCTGGGTTTCAATAAAGTTTTCCTCTTCCCCTGTACGGAGCTCAAGATGGCGGCCTCTTGGTCGCCCTTGGTTACCCTGCGCTTAGCGCCGAGCCGGCTGAGAGGAAGATGTGTCCGGTGCAGGGCTTGGGCCGCTGCTCTCCCCACTTCGGTCACCGCCCCTGGAAACCCCTTTTGTAAAGGTTAGTGACTGTATCTGGAGTAAGCCGAGACGACTGCTTATGACCGGGGAAGTCTCGGGGCAGTCACCCTCCCTCCTCGAGCTCCCCAAACTGCCTCTTTGGTTCACGGTTTTCGAGAGGTTTCTTCGAGAGGAGTTCCACCATCTCTTGCACCGCTGTTACTGCCTGCTCATGAAGGAGCACTGAGGGAGGTGGCCCAGAGTGACTTTCATTTTGAGGGTTAGATGTCGACCCAAGGTTTGTTCCTTCCCGGCTGTTAAAGTAGAGACCTGTAAACCCAGGTGTGGGGAGTACCTCGCTTGAAGGGATTCAAGTGTGGGGTTGAGGCCTGGGAACTCTTCCAACCTGCCCCATCCCAAGCTCTCCAGGCTGGTGACCCGGGACTGTACCTCTGACATCTGCAGGCCCCGCGGGCTCTCTGGATTGCGGGAATGCAAGTGTACAGACCCCCTCAGATTGAGGGGTCGATTCTTTGTGTTCTTTTCAAGTCCTAGAAGGCTTCAGTGAGGCGTATTTTGTCACCGGGCTTGCATCATTCATTCATTCTTTCAAATTGTTGTTCATGAATGAATGAACCTGTATTTTGAGTAACCAAGGCCACAGGAGTGCTAGTTTTACTATATTCATATACTCCCACTAAATTGCGGGCCACTCAAAGGCAAGGACTGGGTGTCATTGTTTCCTCAGCACTTAGCACAGTGTTTGGCGCCTGATGGGCAGATATATTTTTTGAGTGAATGAATGACGTTATTCTTATTGCTCCCTCATCCACATACTTATGCTTTCCTTTTTTAAAAAAATCTCCAGGAACCCCACCCTTATACATCTTTTTTTTTTCCTTATACATCTTAATAAACTGATTCTCATTGGCAGTTTAGCTAAAACTCTCTCAGTCTTTGATTATTATCATAAATAGAGTTGAAATTAATACTAAAACTGTGATTAAGTCACCTTAGGTTTTACTGTAAAGTTTAGCGTAATCCACTTACTGTATAATGGAATATTTTGGTAGCATAAGGTTTCGATCTTAATATAAACTATTTAAAAAAAATTTTGGAATAGGCTATACAAGCAAATAACACAAAATTCAAAAGGTACAAGAAGGAATTCAGTAAAATGTTGACTTTCTTCCACTCCTGTCCCATAGCCATTTAGTTTTCCTTCCCAGAGGCAACTTCTCATACTTGTTTCTTATGTATTCTTCCAGAGACATTCTGTATATATCCACCATATATATTTATAAATACCTGAATTAAAGAAAAATAGAAGTGGTAATATACTATACACACTGTTCTGGTCCTTTCTTTTTTTTTATGTAGTATATCTTGGCGATCATTCCATATAAATACGTGTAGAACTGCCTCTTTTTTTTGGCTGCCACAAGGCATGTGGGATCTTAGTTCCCCAACCAGGGATTGAATGGGCCCTCCCTGCATTGGAAGCGCAGAGTCTTAACCACTGGACTGCCAGGGAAGACCCTGTACCTCATTTTTTAAATGGTTAAAATAGAATTCCGTTCAATGCCTGTACCATAATTTATGAAAATTAGGATTTAAGGAACATTAGCATAACAACATGAGCCTTAATGTTTGTTCTGGGTCATGCAATATGCTAAGTGCTTATCTTGTTTAATTCCCATTATCCTCATTTGGGGGATGAGGAGCCCAAGGTTGCAGAAGTTATTTGGCTAGTTAAGTGGCAGAATTTTTGTTTTTTGTTTTTTGCGGTATGCTGGCCTCTCACTGTTGTGGCCTCTTCCGTTGCGGAGCACAGGCTCCGGACGCTCAGGCTCAGCAGCCATGGCTCACGGGCCCAGCTGCTCTGCGGCATGTGGGATCTTCCCAGACCGGGGCATGAACCCGTGTCCCCTGCATCGGCAGGCGGACACGCAACCACTGCGCCACTAGGGAAGCCCCAGAATTTGTTTTGAATGTGGATATTTGATGAAAATGCAGTTAGAGGTCAATTTAATTGTAACTAAAGTTGCTCCTTCCCCCTCTTTAAGTAAAAGAAAAATTTAAGTTGAAACGTTATTCAGTATTTAGAGTCTGATTTAAGTTTGTTTTCTGTCGTTTTCTTGATGTTTTGGGGGGGTTATTTACTGTTGACATTTGTTTTATCTCCTTTTTTTCATCTTTTCAAGCCTACTGTTTACTGCAGTGTAATGTGAGGGAAGCACATTACACTTAATGTTAAACAAAAGAAGGAAGTAGATAAAGGAAAGGAAGAGCATGTTCTTTGTTTTTGTGCTTCATTTCTTTCTTTCTTTCTTTTTTTCCTTAATTTATTTACTTATTTGGCTGCATGGGGTCTTGGTTGCAGCATGCGGGATCTAGTTCCTTGACCAGGGATCGAACCCGGGCCCCCTGCATTGGGAATGCGGAGTCTTAGCCACTGGACCACCAGGGAAGTCCCCATCTAAGCTTTAATGCCAGCCTTGGCTCTAAGACATTTTGGAAACTGGAAATGTGAAAACTTTAGGGGTCCTAAAATGGTGTTCATTTATATCACCTAACTTTAAATTCCTTAGGAAGTACAACTTATGAATTCCATTTTGCGATATATGTATTTCCATTAGTCAGATTATTAAACAATTTAAAGTATCAATAAAATTTGGTATCTTAAATAATTTAAGTATATATGTCAATTTTGATATTACTGCTTGTTTTCTTTTAGGTCTAAGTGTATCTTCATTTAATGTAACAGTTATTCAATCTCCAGATAGTCATGGGGAAACATTTTATTAGAAATCAGAGTGGTCATGGTGTGGGTAGAAAATGCCTCGAGATTGCTAATTCAGTTGAAGTCTTGTATTAAGTGTATGGAGGGGGAAAGTGAATGAAATTGGCTCCCAGGCCTTGAATAGCTTACAGTCTTGGGAGATGGAATTACAAGAGCTAATGTTTATTGAGCCCTTTCTGTGTTCCAGGCAGTCGGCTAGCCATTTCTTTCTCTCATAATTTTATCTTCATAAAAACTCTATTATAAAGTTATTTTTAAATTTTTTAAAAAAATTTATTTTTTAATGTTTCTTTTTAAACATTTTATATTGGAATATAGTTGATTTACATTGTTGTGTTAGTTTCAGGTGAAACTGAATCACTTCAGTGATTCAGTAAAGTGATTCAGTTATACATGTACATATATCCATTCTTTTTCAGATTCTTTCCCATTACAGAGTATTGAGTAGAGTTCCCTGTGCTATCTATAAAGGTATTGTCATCTCTATTTTATAAATGACTAAACAGGCATGGCCACTCAAGTGGTATTTGAGCCCAGGCATTTTCCCTCCAGAAGCACAAACTTAACCAACCACTGTGTTCTACTAGCTCTTTACCGTGACAATGAACATTAACACCACCATAATCTAGGCCCATCTGAAGTGTTGTAGGACTACAGAGGAGAAAGCAGCTCTGCTTGGAGAGGGGAGGGCTTTTTAGCAAAAGTGTGGAAGTGAGCTGCACCAGGCCCTTATTGGTGTATGTACAGTCCCTCAGGGGGAGCAGCTAGAGATGAAGCTTGGCAGGTGGGCTGGATTCTGGTTAGAAGAGTCCTGTATAGTATGAAAAGATGTGTAGGCTCAGGGGGATACTGCTGAAGATTTCTTGAGAGAAGTGATCAGGTCCATTTTAGCATGATTATCCCTGTGGCTACCTGAAAAACAGGTCAG